CATGCAAGATCGCTTGACCACAAACATATTGCAAGGAACATGAGTATGGACGAAGCACAGAAATCCAAATTGCAAAATCACACTGAAGTCCGAGTTGTCAAAGCCAAAGCAGATAGCACAATGGAACCGAGTAACCATCCATTCCCTCGGTTCTTACTTCTACCTCCCTCTTTCCTTCCCTCGGCCCTCATTTCTCCCTCCCTCCTTGCTCTTTTCGCCCGTTCCCCTCGACCCTCCCTCCCTCCCTCCCTTCTCCCATAGCCCATCATCCTCCCTCTGCCCTCCCTCCCGCTGTCCTCCCTTAGCTCCTGCTCTCGCTCCTTCCTTTCTCCCTTCTTCTCGCCCAACCCAGATGGTGCATTTTGTCTTTCTTTGTTTTCCAATGGACGGATTGCCACATTTTGCTTTTCGATTCCTGTGGCGCGCACATATGAGAGCTGTCTCTTATACACATCTAGATGTGTATAAGAGACAGGTGCTGGATTGATCGATTAAAAAAAAAAAAAAAAAAAAAAAAAGCAGAGGAAACCGAGGTGCAATCAGACTCGCTCCAAACTTCAACTCGCATTCATACAGACAGATGGCAAACAACTCTGGCGTTGTGCGCCCACTCAAAGCTCGGAGATATAGAAGTCAAAACTCAGTTCAGATGCAAACTCGTCTCAACAGGCTATGGCGCATCAACGCTGTTCACCCCAACTCTTGTCTGTACACTCTCGTTGTTTGAAGATCATCATGAATACACACACATGCAGCTCTCTCACACACACTAACTGCTAACCTGTCGCGGCTATGGTCACACTACTCTACTAACACTACTACTACTGCTCTTGCCCTCTTCGTCTTCAGGCACACTGCAAACCACCTCGCACAAGCTGTTCCTCGCAGCGCTTCCGCATGGCTTACGCAACGAATGAATAATGGGTGGGTGCTGCATCTTTATTTATACTTCTGTCGAGTGTTGGTCTGCCTTGTTCCCACCGGGCCTTTTGCCTTCCTGAAAATGTTCCAAGATGCACGCCAGGCATTATGGCTCTCATGGCAATGCTACTCTCGACAAGTCCCCCACCCGAAGAGCAACTGCCAAGCAGATTGAATGCTGATTGTTTCATTCATACAATGCAAAACSTGCTTAACATCAGTGACACTTCTATGGTTGGAGGCGCCTTCCAACAAATTCCCAAGGCCAATCGTCAATGACACCATCCGAGCCCACCAAACTGAGACTCACCCACTCGCGCTTGCACTTGCACACACAACGTCCAAACTCAACAAGTAAGCACGGGGCATACATACATGCAAGATCGCTTGACCACAAACATATTGCAAGGAACATGAGTATGGACGAAGCACA